GTTTTTTATTCATATAAACAAAATTTAATTTCTTTGTTAGCAAATCTTAATTCTAAAGTTACAATTACTTCGGATGTATGGACATCCAAATTTAATATTAGTTATATCTGTGTTATCGGTCATTTCATTAATGAAAATTGGCTTTTGAATAAAAGAATTTTAAGTTTTACTAGGCTTGAATGGCCACATAGTGGCCCTTCTATTGCTGCAAGTATTTTAAATACTTTGCATGCTTATGGATACAATTAATTTTGATAATGCCAGCAATAATGACTCTTCAATAAATATTTTAAAATCTTAATTAAAACCATGCTTAAATGGCAAATTATTTCATATTAGATGTGCATGTCACATCTTAAATTTATGTATTCAAGATGCCTTGAATATTATTTCTACTCATATTTCAAAAATTAGAAAGGGGCAAGAAAACAAGAATTTAAATATTTATGTCAAAATTGTGTGTAAAATATAAACATTTTATATTAGATGTAAAGCATAGGTGGAATTCTACCTATGCTATGTTAGCAAGTTGTATATCTCATAAACAAATTCTCTCTGATTTTTATAATTTAAAAATGCCTAATGATATGATATTTGAGGAAGACTAGGAAATGGCAATCTGTATAAGATATTTTTTAAAACATTTTTATGATGCAATTAATGAATTATCTAGAATTTATTATCCAACTATCTGTAATTTACCTTATCAATGAATGGTAATTAGTGATTGTTTTGCAAAATATAGAAATAATCCACAATTTCAATATCTTATTGAAATTATGGAAAATAAAGTAAAAAAAAAATATTGGGAGAACATTTCTCCCCTTTATTGTTTAGCTACAATATTAGACCCTAAGATTAGGAAAGATGGTTTAGATATTTTACTTAAATCATATTGTGAAAATATGAATATTGATATAGGAAATAAAAAAGAAGAAATTAATAATTTATTATTTGAAATATACATTTTGTATGAATCTGAAGTTGTAGGAAATTCCTACAACTTGTTCATCATCTTCTTCTACTTCTGACCTTGAGCCAAGTAGTAGAAGAGAAAAACTTTTTTATTTAATAAGTAGAAGGCAGGAATCTCCTAGTTCTACAATAAGTTCATTTACTAAAATTTTTCGTCCAGTTCTCATCGCCATGGCACGTGATTTACTAACCCCTCCGGTGTATACAATTCCATCGGAGTCTTGTTTTAGTGCAGGTACTAGGATGCTGGATGACAAAAGAAACTACATGAACGATGAGAGCATAGAGATGTGCATCTGCTTCAAGGATTGGCTAGACGTAGAAAATAGATTACAAGACAAGGGAGGGCATGATACTACACCGGATATTTCACCCGAAGCAAATTATGAAAGTCATGAATGATGATTCATGAGTTTGACTACTTGTATAGAATTTTTTATTTTTTCAAATTATTGTAATTTTTTTTAATTTATTTGATATATTTTTTAAAATTTTTTAACAATGTAATTTTGTATTTTCAATTTGTAACCATATTGTATTTTTTATATTTTATTAGTTTATTCCATTTTCATATTTCATTCATGATTCATCCAAATGATCCAATCATTGTATTTGTAATTCACTAATTTGTACCATTCAAATTTAAATGAAATAAAATTCCTATTTTTCTTCCAATTTGTTATTCCATCATTCTTATTTCAATTTGGTAAGTTTTTTTTTTTTTTCAATTATGTCATTATGCATTAGATAACTTAGTGCCTGTTTGGCAAATCTTTTTAAGAAGATCTATTGCAAGATCTGATGGTTAAAAGACTTGGTGAGCTTTTGCAAATAGATCTTGAAAGACCAACGACTATTTGGTTGAAACATTTTTAATAGATCTCCGGAAAGACCATAAAAGTTAGAAGACTGTTTGGTAATGTGATGAAAATATGTGTTATGTATATATGAATGTCTCATGTGGGCCAACAAATCATAACATTTAACACATATGGGGCCCACATATAAGTCTAAATGTGCATTTCATAGTTGCGAGTCCCACATGCAATCACCATAAATGGGCCCCACATGTATTTTTCTAATGTGGGCCCCACATATGCATATCCTTCATTACGGAGTCCAAAACTATTTTTTCAATATGGGCCCCACATAAATTTCAACATATATATAATATGTAATGTGGACCCCATAAACATTTCAACATACAGATAATGGTGTGGGTCCCATGTGCAATTCCAACTATATATCCCTCATTATGGAGTATAAAACTATTTTTTCAATATGGGCCCCACATACATTTCAACATATGCTTAATGCGTAATGTGGGCCCTGCATGTAAGTCCACTTATGCATATCCTTCATTTTAAAGCCTTTAAATAATTTTCATGGTGGGGCTCACATACATTTCAACATATATATAATACGTAAAGTGGGCCCACATTTATATACCATTAGTGGGCCCACTTACATATTCAAATTTGTTGTACATGTTAATAGCATAATAACCTTAATTTTACTATTACAACTTTAATATTGTGCAACTACAAAGCATATCCGAAATGGAAAATCCATACAACAGTTCATGATAGGGTATACTAACCTCACTTCTAGTGGTATCTATTTTACTTCTACACCAACAAAATGATAATCAAAATTAGCAAAAAAAAAGGATCAAACACATCATGGCATAGCAACAAGCACAAGCCCCGATTGCAACAACCCGCTCCTTCTTGTAATCTGCATGTTCATGAGTAATATGATGTTGTTCAATGATGCAAACTTTGGGTTCTCTTAGGGTGTAGTTATCTACCCATATAAAGTCATATTCATGTGGCTAGAAGAAAAAAAAAATGTTAATAATTTTCAATCCATGTCAGAAACAAATATAGATCAATATGGGTTTTTGGGTATTGGACTTATATCTCACTGGTTGGACATTTATAAAACCATCTTCCGTAATTTTTCTTGGTTTTTGCCATCCACAATTGCATATGTCCATGCCCACATGGACACATCGGCCCCCTTTGATTTGTTGCCATAACTAAATAACAAAACAATTGAACATCACATCACAATAAAATTATTTTTGACCTAACAAATGATTTATGAAATTTCCAACAAGCACATGATCACTAATTGAGAACATATCAATGCCATAATTTTATAGTTAAAAAAACACATAACCATTAATTGTTCAATAGTTCATTGAAATCCCTAACTAATTTGATTGCCACCTACATATACTTCTTGGGCGGGTGCCATTGACACATAAGTTGTAATGATCAGCCATTTTGAACATAATTTCATCACAAACTTGTTCTAGTCGTCTAGATGCCTGGGATCATACGTTGATAGTTGTTAATGTTGTACCATGAAACATTCCTCCCTCTCCTTCAACAAGAACACCATCTTGAAGGAAACAACTCCAAAAAACATATTGTATTCTCGAAAATCGAATGAAATTATGTAGCATACAACAAGCAAATACAATTCTAATATGCTTGTGAAGTGGTCAACCACCTCTTCCTTAATGAAGAATGAACATAATTAAAATATTCTTCGGCATTCTTGGATCAACCACCTCTTCCTTGAAAGTCTCTCAAATGGTATTTCTCTTATCGATATGGAGATAGAAATCCAAGCATATTTGTATAACCCAAGTCAACTATGTAATATTTTCCTATATGATAGCACAAATGTTAGTTAGTATATTGAATAAAAAAATTCAATGAGTTATTTGATAGTTTTCCTAACCTTCTAGTGGTAGCGGGAACATATTGGCGGGGTTCTGAACTGTTTCCAAGAAAACTCTCGAATCATGTGCAGCACTCTCCCATCCTACTTCAACAAAAGTGAAGAGCATGTCAAACGAACATGCACACATCACATTCTGGGTGGTTGTTGATTTTCTTCCCCTAAATGGAACTTGATCACTAGATGGAACATAAGCATGAACATGTGTTCCATCTATTGCACCTACATAATTCTGCATATGAAAAAATGATCAAGCTTGGTGATAAATTTTTTATTGAAAAATAAAGAATTAAAAAAAAATATCTCTCATATAGTATGAGATACCTCAAACCATGGATAATATTTTGGATTGTTGAGTATTTCAGGTGGTATAACAGTTAGATCACTGGGACATACAATTTCCTTGCCAAATTCACAAATTGCCTTCAATGCGGAATTAAAGTGTCATGAAATGGTTTCCCTAGAGTGTTGAATGTGGTCTGCAGTATCTCGATTTGATTTGTTGTGTCCTACAATCTTTAAAAGAATTCCAATATGCTCATCATCTGATATGTATCTACTATCTTTCACTAACCCTCGTTGTCTCAGTGCACCTACTAGGCTAACAAATGATTCTGGGGTCATTCTAAACATTTCCAAACACCTATTACCTTCATTGCATATGACATTTTTCAACCACTCTAACCCGGTCAAAATGTCATTGCGGTAAGGTGTCTTGGAGAGATACATTTCATCTTCCTTCTCAAGTTCCTTCACAATAAGGACATTTGTCATCATTCGCTGCTCTTCATCATCTATGGCAGCAACAAAAATTGCTTGCAACACTACCCTCTTGGTCGGACTATCAACCATTGTGAATCTGACACAATAATTACATATAAATATAAGACTCTTTGTATTTTATTAATTGAAAACCTGCATTTCATAAATTAAGGACCAAATGTGCTACCATGTCCATTAAACCATCCAACAATATTCATTAAGCAATCCACAAAACCATAATACCATATAAATTGTAGCTACTGAAACTATTGTTCAATTCTACACTTATGAAGTAGTTTAAGAAGTAATAACAAGTCTAAAAAAAGTGTTCATCTAAAACATTAAAAGAAAAAGGGTTCATGGATGAGAACATAACATTCATGAGTCTAACGGTTAAGCACATACAACACCCAATTCTTCCTAAGATTAGTAGGCATGTTCATGATCCATTCTCTTGCATCCAGCTTCTCAAACACTTCATAAAGTTTTATGTAGTCATTATGATCAAGTCATTCGATAGAATTCAACTCTGATAAAACATTGCTCATAGAGAAATGGTTCTCTGGCTTTTGATTCATTCCATTAATTGAATCCACCAACTTCTCAAATCTCTTATCTGTCGATACATTTTGTTCAACAATTGCATCAGAAAATTTAGATGGCCTCTTCCTACAAGCATTTTGCTTAGTGGTTGTAGTAAAAATTTGATCACCATCAATATTGGTTGAATCAGCAATGCCAGGTGATGGTTGTTGAACTTCTTCAAAAGGTGGATCATTAGAAACATGCCCTTTCTCCCGGGGTGGAGACTCTATGCCACGTGCCAAAGATGCAGAGAACCTTCCTGTTGGTGTGGTACCCCCAAATATAATTTTAAGGTTGTTATATTCTGGACAACCCATAGTACGAAACTTTTTTGCCTTGGGGTTAGCCTAAAAAGATAAGGGACACCAATCAATATATACATTTCCATACATATAAAATCCCAAATAATGATGATCTCTAAATAAATTCAAAGTTCAGCAAATACCAGGAAATAATTCTCCCGTGTCTTTGGGGAGGCTACAACCATCTTCTTCTCTTCATCCCAGCCAAATCCCGTTTGCCCGAACCTCAATTTCTTAAACTCTTTATACCTACTTTTTAGATTTTGTATTTTGTTATTGAAGGATTTAGTGTTGAACTTCAACCCAACTTGTGCAAAAAAGCTTTGTCGAACCTCCTTCCAACCAATTGATTTTAGACATCCAGAAACCATTCCCCTATTCTGTACTTGAACTACTAGTAAATCTATGAAAATATATTCTTGCGCAAGAGCCCAATTTGCATTAATAATAGGTGCATCGTCAAATGTTGTGGTATTGACTATATATTTGCCATCTATATAATAATCAGATCATTAGTTACTATCGAAGTGATATAATCATTTTAAATTTGTATTGAAAAAGCAAATAATATGAGTATGGAATTAATTGCAATTATAGGAGTTACATGTGGTAGATGAACCCAAAAAATATGCAAATGGATGTACAATAAAACTGCACAAAAAAAGAAAACAGAGTTTGATAGCTTCAGCAAATTTGCTGGTACAACCCCCAAGCAACCAAGTTCACCAACTAATAAAGAAACATTAAAAAAAATAGTAGATATATGTAAAGAAGTATTTTTACATCAGATATACAACATAAAGCTTATGATGAAACCGAATAATTTAATAGTAGAGAAGTATATGATATATGTAAATAGGTGGAGGAGTATATGATATATGTAAATAGGAGTTTTAGAGAAATTTTAGAGAAGTGGGGTCCCCTCTATCTATGCCTTGGGATTCTTATGGGTTGTGGCATCTCTACAGAAAACTATCATCATTTTAAGACCCACCTTTTGATAAATAGAGCCAATACACACCAACATCCAAAGTGGGGTCCCCTCTATCTATGCCTTGGGATTCTTATGAGTTGTTTGCTACGGTCCTTAACATCCAAAGAGAATAGGAATTAGATCAGTTCTGTTTCTAATTTTATTTCTTTCTGCCCAAATAGTGCTGAATGGACCTCCATAGACTTTTTCTAGCTTTGACAAACCTTGCAGCTCCCAACATTAAAGACCTCATGACCCAATCAAGATCCAGGCTGAAAAGTAATGATTCCAGATCTTAGTCGAGATAGGACGGTGAAGAAAAAGATGATTACTATCCTCCAAATCTTGGCCGCAAAGCACACAAAGCAATTCTTGAAGCTAAAAACCTCTGTTTCAAGAAAGCATTTCAGTTATATCTAAAAATGTTTTTGACTGATAACTGGGTTATCCTCTATCTTGTTCAAGAGCAACTTTAAAACTAAGTTCTCTAGTGATGGTACCTAGATAGATATTTATGCCACACCTTGAGGAATTATTATTAAGTCAAACACACTTATAGCCATATTAAAATGATAAAAAAACACTGAAAATATGCACGTAAAGATTCAAAATTAAAGGTTTTAAGAAGGTGGAACCAACAAGTTGAGATTTATTGTATCACTTGCGAAAATGATATATATACATAGGTGGGAAAGCATGACACCATATACATGTTTAAACTATGCAAATTTGTTTTACTTGTATTGAATTTGTTTAAGCTCTAGTTTTCAGGACTTCAGTTGTTGCATGAATTTTACTTACATATATATGGTTTTCATGACACCATATACATGAATTTTACTTACAAAGAACCAACAAAGAATGTTAAGCATAAATAAAGCTCATGTCTTTCTGGACAATATTCAACTTGATGGCGGAGTACTTATGATTTTCAAATAAAAGGGCCATCCAACAATTTCATGGTCATCATATTAAATAAACAATTTCTGGCCCATGAGATCTCCAAGATGGGGAATCTAGTCATATGTCTCCTTCTGCAGATACAGAAAACTTCAAATTGGATTAAAGCCCAGATTTGGGTTCTAATTAAAGCCCAGGAAATCCCTCTCAACCAATGCCCCCCTTTGTTTCAAGAAAGCTGAAAACCCAATGCCCCCCTTGGCTGATATAGAAAACTTCAATCTGGATTAAAGCCCAATTGGCTGATACAGAAAACTTCAATCTGCAACTGCATTGTTGATTGTTGTCACAAGAGGAACTGTTTTAAAATTTCAATTATTGGATTAACTTTAAAATTTCAACCATGTGATCCCAAAATAGGCCTAAGATGTTGCTGTCACTGACATAGGAAGCAGTAAAAGAATTGTAGATTTTAAGTGTTATCATCAATTTCCTCTTAGCCATGTCATCAAACATCTCTCAAGCAGCAGTTGACTTCCCAGCTTTCATATATGCAAAGGCCACATTGGTGTACACAACGCTAATAAATCTTCATACATCATAGCTCAGGGTTAGGGCTCGAAACATTTGCGAGTTTTTATTGAAAGATCACTATTTTCTCACAAGCGTGTGTAGAGAAACACACGTTCGAAGAAGCTAGAAAATTGCAAAAGCTTCAATCGAAGTTTCTCGAAAAAGCCCAATTTCGGGCTTCTCGTGTCTTCAATGGTTTGTGTCTTTTTCAGAACAAATCTACCATTTACCAAACGGGAAAAACCCGAAATTTGGGCTTCCGGGCTTCTAAACAGCTCGAAGCCCGTGCGGAAAGACTTGCCAAACGTGGCCTTAGATTTCTCATTTCTTAATTTTTTAAATAATTCCCAATTTTCAAATTTCAAAGGAAAGTTAAATATTTTAGTTTTACAAGTTTACTTAGAAAAGAAATCAAAATTTTCAAAAAAAGTAAAATAAAAAAAAAAAACAGTGCAGCCCGATTCGGCTTTGGCCCAAAGCCCGCCTTGTGGCCCAACCCGACATGGCCCAAGCCCATGACACAGCCTATAACCCAGCCCGGCCTAAACCCACAACACGGCACAGGCTAGACCCGCCTAAACCTGGGCCATGGGCCATGCCAAACCGACCCCCAAAATTTTCACTGGGAAAGGCGACACAACCCGTGATGACCTACGGGCATACGGGGCCCGCCCACGGGCACAGCCCACTTTACACCTCTAAGTTGAAACCTGTTTTGTGTGAGAAAATCCTAACTTGCCCTACAGCCCCTATCCCCTAGCCCCTTACTGCAGAGTTGGGATTTCATGCCAACATCACACGTTCCAACATCCTACCGACCAACACAACTTGACACCGCATATCACACCACGAGACTGTGCCACCATAAAAGTGGGACCCATCATAATATGAGATTTGTGGTGTCAGGTGATATTGGTAGGGTGTTGGAACGTAATCTGTTGGTAGGAGATCGGACTCCCTGCTGCATCACTCGTACGCCAGCATGTAGCTTCTTCGCTCCACGTGCGTACCGGCATGCAGGTGTCTCCAACCACCTCCGCACAGCAGGGCGGATGACTCATCTCGTCCACGCTCTCCGCCCGAATCCCAAATGTCACTTCTTCTTCTTCTCAAACCTTCTTCTTCTCCCCATTCGTATTCCTTCTTACCGCTATACTTATTAAATCCTTTCAACCACAACAACAACAACAACAGAGCTTCCATGCTCAAGAGACTACTGCTCTACTCCACCTCTATCCATTTCCGTCGCTCGTTGCTCTCTCTCAACAATTCTATCACAACTCCACATCCATTAATTCTCACCTCCACATCCACATCTCCTTATTCACCTCCGCCACTGATAAGCCGTCGACGCATTCACTCTCTTAGGCTCCTCGCCATGGCTGAAGGAACCCTGAAGCCATCACAAGCTCACAAGCACACCAACCGTCTCGCCAAAGAGCATAGCCCTTACCTTCTCCAACACGCTCATAATCCGGTCAGTACCATCAGTTCTTTGCCCTTCTCTTTAAAAGCAAGGATCTGTCGCTCGCTGGAGGTAATTAAGAGAAAAAATTTGCTTTCTTTTTGTTCTTTTTTAGGTTGATTGGTATCCATGGGGAGAGGAAGCATTCGAGAAAGCGCGACGGAAAGACATGCCAATCTTCTTGTCCAGTATGACATTCCTTCTTTTAAATTTGTCGCCCCCTTTTTCTTGTTTAGGATTCTGATTTTTGAGATGTATTTGGCGCATTTCAATCTCACGCTGTTGGTTTTGGATTTGTTGGCGCTTCTTATGACTAGTTGGATATAGCACCTGCCACTGGTGAGTCAATTTCGCTCCGGGAACTTTTACTTCTAACTTGTGTCTTTGTTCGGAATGTCTTCTTTCTGCACTTGATTGATTCATTGATTGTGGTGGGATGGGGAGTTGGGTGCTACTGCTCAGGTGCCATGTTATGGAAGTGGAATCTTTCGAGGACGAAGAAGTTGCAAAGTTGCTAAATGACTGGTTTGTTAGTATCAAGGTTAGTTTGAATTCGGTAAACTAATGTTTCGAATCAGGCTTTTTCCTTTTAGAAATATCTGTTCATCGGGAATTATCTCCTTTTCTCAACTGTGAATTTTTATTCCAACAATTTCCTTGCAACAGGTGGATCGAGAAGAGCGACCGGATGTTGATAAGGTAAGGGAATGAGATTTTTTTTTGTCCTTGAAGAATTTCCTGACTACTTTATACGAGAGATTGTTTTTAATTTTTTATCCTTTTAATCTTTGGCCCTTGATGTAATTTCTGTAACAAGAATCAGTTTAAAGCCTGTTTCAGGAGATTCAGTTTCTCATTCATGAGCATTGATTAGGTTTAAGATGAACATTCGGAGTTTAGGATGCTATTCTAACGAAGTTAAGGGTGGGGGAACGTGTACGTTTTTTCTTGGAATTTGATGGTTTTAGAATTTCACTCTTAATTAGTTGAACTTGGGGAGTTTTCTGTTCTATTTTTTATCATATGAAATGAAGTTGCTGAATATGGGGTGTGCCATTTCCACTGCCGTATGGACACAGATACAGGAGTCGGAATCTGACGTGTGTCCAAAGTGTCTAACTTGAGAAGATGAAAAGCATGGACTTGTGGACACGTCTATGGAAAAGCCGATACTATTAAATAGTTCATATTTTTTGAAGTCTAACATTATGCAAAAAAAGTTTCCTTTGTTACCAAGTAACATTCGATTGAAAAATGGCATTGATCTTGTACATTGGCTGTTCATTTATGTCAAATAAACCAGGAGATAAAAAAGGAATGTCATGTGGAAGTGCATTTCAAAGAATCCATGGAGTTTTGGATTATGACTTGTCTCCAATACAGACATGCCATTCATTTAGGACAGTCCATGCGACAGCAACACTAGCCATTTCTTCACTTTTTTTTAGATAGGTCTTACTAGCCATTTTTATTCCATTACGAAATTCCAACCAATTCCCACTCCAAGAAAAAAAGAATAAGAAACCTAACAAATTGATACAGAACGAAAAAATTGGTTTGATTTCATTAAATTTCTGCTTTTACATAGGTATACATGACGTATGTGCAAGCGCTTTATGGTGGTGGTGGTTGGCCATTGAGCGTTTTTCTTTCACCTGATTTGAAGCCGTTAATGGGTGGAACATACTTCCCACCAGAGGACAAGTATGGACGGCCTGGTTTTAAAACCATAATCAGGTTAGCATTTGGGACATGAAGTTCCCAATCTTATTTATTGCTGCTGGTAAGAAATAATCCAGGGCTAAGAGAGCAACTTCATAAATGCAAAGAACCATTTAGTGATCTGACTCATCATCCTGTAATGATAATTCAATTTACATGTACTATCTTACCTCTTCATTTTTCACTTATTCCTGTGTTTACACAGGAAAGTGAAAGATGCTTGGGAGACCAAAAGGGAGATGCTTGTAAAAGGCGGAGCCTATGCAATAGAACAACTGGCAGAAGCCTTGTCCAAAAGTGTCACTCTTAATACGCCAACAGATGGACTCTCACAACATGCTTTACATTTGTGCGCTGAACAGGTGAAGTTTATTGAAATGGGAGCCTTTATTGTATTTCCTTTCTTGTAACAGTTCAAAGATTTGACTACTTAAACTGCGATGCTGCATAAATTGGCCAAGTTATTGAAAGACAAGGATTAGAAAGAGCCAAAGGGCTAAAATTATATAGTCTGATGTCTCCTATTGCAATTTCAAAACTAGGAAATTTCAAAGTCTTGACTGATCCATTTTATGATATGTCTCCAGTTTGACTCGTGGATTTGTTGGTTTCATGTTTCTTGCTCAGTAAACTTTGATTCACATGTGGTTTTTTTGTGTTATTAGTCATGCTCTCTTATATCCTCCATTTTCTGTGGATTTCCTCTTGGTTGTCACTGAGAATTTTATGAGGATATGTTCTACTAGAGTATTGAGAGAACTGATTTGGTCATTGTTGCTTTGGTGTCTATATTTATGTATGCACATCCACGCATACATGCCTACAAATATATTCAGCCTATTGTCATGAGATGAACACAAGCATAGATGATGTGTGGTTTGGGAATATTTTTGATACTATGTTCCTGATAGCAAGATGATGAAAGTAACATATCCAAGTCTGTTACTTTGGTTGTGTTTTTGTAAATTTTTGCTCTTCATATTTACATTTGTTTATGGTTGTTCTCTACTAGCTTGCTGGAAGTTATGATCCAGAGTTTGGTGGGTTTGGCTCTTCTCCAAAGTTTCCTAGACCTGTAGAGATTCAGTTGATGTTTTATCACTCAAAGAAGCTGGAGGAAGCTGGGAAGTCATCTGAGGCAAATAGAAGTTTGAAAATGGTGCTCTTTAGTCTGCAGTGTATGGCCAGAGGTGGCATCCATGATCACATTGGAGGTGGTTTTCATAGATACAGTGTTGATGAGTGCTGGCATGGTAAGTCTGCATGGGTTAGTAATTATCTTTCCTGAGATAACAATGTGTTGAGTTGGTCCGAGTTGTTTTTTATTTAGTTAGGAAGTTGTTGGGCTTTAGGCCCATTAGTTTATGTTTTTTTAAGTTGTGACTGTTCAACTATATTAGTAGCCGCCCTACTAAGGGCATCCTTGTAATATCTCATCCTTTAAGTTAAGTATAAATATAATGAGAGATAGGCAGCTAGGGTTAATTTTATAGTCCTGGTTGACTTCCTACTCTTTTCTTCTTCTCCTTTTTTCTCTACTGCTGAAATCTTCTTCTTCCCCATCTTTCCTTTCACAAGAAACTCGACTAAATCTGCAATTAGTGATTTCTACTCAATGCATCATACATACTGATATAAAATAGGAAAATCTTCAAAGATGAACAAATTACACCTATAAGTAAATATGGCTGATGTTTCACAAGAAAAGCTATGCCTCAATTTCTTAGAGATGCATGCAGTTGTGTGTGCCTCTCGCATCAACAAAGGTGCAGGTGTGTATCCTCTAATTTCTGGATAAAATTTAATTATTTAAAGCCAAAAAACCACAATTAGCCAGCTTTCTATAGCACCATTCTCTACTCTAAAAAGAAATTCTCTTTGGGGGAGTGGGACTGTCATCTCAATGAGGGAGCACTTTTTTAACTTGTGACTTGAATATTCTTAATATCCATACTTCACCTTGTGTTGGTGTAATTTCCATCACATAATGGACCATTCCATAAAGTGCCCTTCTGATGAGTGGTTTTTCAATAAATCAAGACCCTTCTTTTGGATGATCATAGAGTGGTGTACCATGCAGACCAGGACATACATAGAAGCATCATGTGGTTACTTTTCTCCAGACTCCAATCCGTAGTCTAACAAAGTAGCAAGACCATTTACATGTATGGTGAAGAACATAGGGAGCATTGCCATTAATATACCTCTGGAACAAAACACGTTTACAGAGAGAGAGGAAAAGAAAAGAAAATTCAAAAAATCAAGGTGAATAACCTGAGATGTCATCCCACATTTTCCTTGCCATTTATTACTTCTCTTATTGTGAAAATGAGCCCTACTGGCTATGCCTAACAAAACCTTGAAAGTTGTAGCTTAAATATGAAATTCTTGGGTTTGGGGCAACCATGTTGTAGTTGCGGTGAATAGCTCCAATAATTTAACACTTAATGTATGATTAGAGGATCAATTGTCTATATTTATTTGTTGTCCTATGTAAAATGTAGTTAAACAAAAAAAAGGCAGAACAACCAGATTGCTTTTTAACCGTCTGGGAATCATTTTTTTTAAAGTATATGAAAATTTTCCACAATTAATTTGTATTAAAATGAATGTTACATATCATTGTACTGTTTAAAGCTGGTATTTTGCAACAGTAACCTTACTCTAGGATTCATTTAATGCTTTGTCCTAATCTTCCAATGACAAAATATATAACCAGAGACCACACTAGATATTTTGTGGCCCCAATTTGTAAATAAAAGGAAATTAATTATTTTTAATTGGGAAACAAAATTTGTTTAGTTTATCATCAATAATGTTTTTTTTTTTGAGAAAATTTAAGAAACAAGCCTTCTATTTGTCATCATTGGCCATTTATCATCAATAATGTTATATTGCTTGAAAGTGAACAAGATACTAAATTTAGAGTAACTATTAAGAACAAAATATGAGAATGAAGTTCAAAAATATATATCTTATATATGGTAAAGAAAAAAATTAAATGCATATATTTGTGGTTTATAAACTTCATTGACTACTTTTTGAATTTTTTTGAGGTTTACATGTGGCCTCTCCAAGCCCAGCTGCCTTGCCTCTGCCTTCAACCTTTTAAAACCTTGGTAACTTGTGCTTGCAAGAGGCTTTGACTTGGTTGGGTAATATTTTTTTCCCCTTTTGTGTATTACAGTGGGGAGTATAGGTTTCACTTTTTGCAATTTTAAAAATTTTATAACCAAGTAGCTGGTTGGCTTTGTTTAACTAAATTTCAACTACCAACTCCAGGATCTGGTCCTTGTTTCTCTTTTCTGGAAGGAATACCTACAGTAGATAATGAACCAATTCTATTTTCCAAAAAAAAAAAAAACGAAAAATTCAGGTCCTTCATTGACTTCGCACAAAATCTTTAGGTTGTCAAAAAGCATAAAAGATATGCCATCCTTATCATTACAAGAGAGTAAAATAAATTATATCAACGTTTTACTATCCTGTCCTATTTTTGTTTAGGATTTATTCTCCTCATATCTTTGGAATCTTTCTGAATGAAAACCAAATCTATTATGAGAAAGAAGCACTATTAAAACTTCTGTTTTGGTTTTAGACCTTGGAAATCTCCATATACTCTTTGCCAAACCTATTTACTCTAATTCTTGATTTGTAGTCTTAAGGATGTCATAATTCTGTGACTTGACCAGTAATAAATAAAATCCTTTAACACAGTACTGAAAGTCCAGTGTCCAGATAGTTCCATCTTCTGCAGGTCAACTTCACCTTTTGCCATTGTAACATTCTAAGTAGGAGGACTCGATACTTCAGTTCACTGTTTGGCCATTTCAAACAAGATAACTCATTAGGAGTGCTATAGGCGTTATTTTAAATTTCCAGAAAATTAGCATACATAATGTATGCATTTAAAATATAGAATTCCACCAACTTATTGGGTGGTCAACTGAATGATTTTTCTTTTTTTTGATTGGGGGAGGGGGGGACTATACCAAGGTAGATATCTTTTGATTTAGTTTTATTAATACTTATAATCATCATCTTGTCTTGTAGTTCTTTTTCATTTGTCTATCCATAGTGGATAAAAGAATCTAGGGTCTAGAATCTTGTGGTTCATTTGTTCTTATTTCTTTAAAATCCTTGATCAAACTAACAAATGTTAAATTGTTGTTGTCAGTGGAAATGTTGGTCATCTAAATATAGGAAAGATGTCGGAAATATCATATGGAAACATTGTAAAAATTGTTGTCATGTTGAAAACATTGTAAAATATGCAAAAATATAGAATGATATTTTACAAAATGATAAGAGAAGCATAGGAACACCTTTTTAACGTATTATCTTGTTCCAAATCATAAAACAAAAGTAAGAAACTAAGCTTATAAACAAAATAATATGTTCTGAAGTTGTCATGTAAACTTAAAGATTAAAAACTATATGATAGAATGAGTTCAAGTGAAATTTAAACTCATAGAAAATGCCAATTGTTCTAATAGATCAACCAAATAATCTATTACACAAACAAAAACTAATATTTAACTTCATATTTGAAATGAATATTGAGCTAGCTCAAAGTGGTAATCATGTAAGTTAGGTAGGCAATAACATTGCTACTTCACATATATTGTCACCAACTTATGCTATAATACTTTCTCTTGTACTTGGTGCTTATCCCTTCATGTGTGCATCCTCTATTTAAAAGTGGGGAGGGTATTTGATGCAGAAGAGTCAAAATTGAAAATTTCTGAATGTTTATGTATTTTTTTATAATTTTAGACAGTATGTGTGCTTTTTCATTTTACAGGTTTGTGGGGTCTGGCCTAATAATTTGATCTGCCTAGTCATAGTTGGTTGCTATTTACAAATTCAGTCATTGGTCAAATTGTTTAGGAGTTATGATAATGATAATTCTGTAATTTCAATTTTTCCCAGTTCTAGTACAACTGTCCACCTTATCATTACAATCTTTATTTTTTTTTGGTAAAAAAATATTGGAATGATATTTAAGTTAATTATATGCATATTATGTTTATGCTGATTGGTTCCCAATAAACCCTAAAGTGGTTCAGGTCCCTATTAAGTGACTACATGTTTTCTCTTTCTTCTTTATCTTCATCTACTCTCTACTTTTACAAGCAGTATTACTGCCATCAAAAGATCACAATCATTAAAGAAGTTCATTCTACACTTCTAAAGGATTGGAATCTATCCAGATATGTTTTCTTCCAATTTATGCTGGGACCTGAACTTTTCCCATTTTAGCAGTTTATATCCTTTCATGCCAAGCAATGTTTGATTGATGCTTCCATAGATCCTAACCTTTTATTTGGCCAAAACTCATCTCAAATCACACCCCAAAACCCTAGGTTCTGTAATTTTCAAGGTTTTTCTTTCACATCCCATAATTTTATTCTTTCTGTTCAAGGCATACTCTAAACCATGTTAAATTTGGTACCCCTTTCATCTGTAAAGGAAAATTTTACCTACAAAATTTTGTTGAAAAAATCTAACCTTCAACCTATTTCCCTGTTTAAAACTTTTCATAATTTTAGGATAAATTTACAACTTGTTACAATCAAGCCCCAATATCCCTCCTAACCTAATCAACCTCCTCCTTTAGTCCTAAAATTGTCCCCAAGCATATTTTAACCCTCTTAAGCTCATCCTTGCTTTATACAATTCCTACATCAATTTGGTATCAGAGCTATATTTTAACCCTCTTAGGCTCATCCTTGCTTTAGATAATTCCTACATCAATTTGGTATCAGAGCTATCGGTCCTTTGGACTCATAACAGACGATCCTATATCAGTATTTATCATCTTTTTGTCATGTCAGTCTGAGCTAGGGAATCACTTTCCCTCTTTCTTTGGGGCATCCTGGATATCACCACCAAATGTTTGTGAGCTGCTCTTGTCTTTTTTGTGTCTTTATCATACAAAAAGGCATATTCTAATGTATCATTGCACAAAAGCTGCAACATTATGGAGTCCTATGTTGCAAAATAAATGTAACAGTCTTTGAGAACAACTAAATGTAGACCAACTTATAGATCTCATTATGGTAAGAAGCATTCTTTGGATACAATCATGCGATGTTTTTTAAGGCATTACCATGGACAAGTTAATGCGAAGTTGGCAGATTGTAATGGGACTTTCAAATAGAAGATAGAAAATAATGGTGGATTTTGGAGGGCCATGGAGCACTTTAAAGTATTGAATGTGTGGTTAGAGATGATAGTGGAAATATTTTGCATAGCTTCTCAGGGCCTATTGGTAATGGAAACACACTGAGAAAAGAGATATAAGCCCTATTACAAGGATTAAAGTTTGTTACATGTATAGGTTGGGCAGATACAAGTTGAGGGAGACTGTCAAGTAATGGTAAATTGGATGATATCAGGGAAACACTATGGATAATAAGATTTCTGGTTAGAGAAGCAATAGTCATGGCTACAATCCTTAACTGCTTGTTCAGGTGTGTTTCAGGATCTGCTATCGGTCTGTAGGGGTGCAGCGTTGGTGGAGTACACACCAGGGCCAGGATGAGAGTTGTGAACAGGTGTGTTTGCTACATGTATAGGAAACACACTGAGAGCTATTAGCCCTATTACAAGGATCAAAGATTGCTACATGTATAGGTTAGGCAGATACAAGTTGAGGGAGACTGTCAAGTAATGGTAAATTGGATGATAAACACAACCCTTTACTGCTTGTTCAGGTGTGTTTCAGGATCTGCTAACAGTCTGTAGGGGTGCAGCGTGGGTGGGGTACACACCCGGGCCAGGAAGAGAGTTGTGAACAGCAAACTGCTGTTCTTATGTGGGGTATTGAGGAATGAAGTCGGGAATGTGATTCTTATCTTCTCAGGTCCTTTAGGAGTGGGAGACTCTACTAGAGCAGAACTATCTGCTGCCCTGCAAGGTGTTCAGTTTGCAGCTCAATTAGGGGTGAAACAGTTAATAGTTGAAGGTGACTCAAAGATTGTAATAAGCTGGTTGCAGAACCCGGAGTCAGTAGTTTGGTGTTTCAGGAATGAAAATAAAATATTTAAGTTGCTGACAAGAAACATGGACCTAAGAATACAATGGGTGGGGAGATCAGCATATGCTATGGCAGACTGTCTAGCCAAGCAAGGGGCAGATAGGGAATTTTTGTATTGGGCACAACTGTAACTTATTGCTTTTGTTTTCTTCTTTAATGGAGAGATCACAGCTCGTGCCTCTCCATGGGCTGCTTGTATGTGCTAATATTTCCAAATTAATAAAAGGTTCTATTTATTTATCAAAAAAAAAACAGCAACCTACTGTTTTCCTTGTACTCTGCAACCCTCTTCCTTGGGTAGCAGAGATTCTTCTATTCACATCAATGAAATTCATACCGTTGTTGCTGATAAAAAGAAACATCAGTATGTCTGGTGTTGAATTGTTTCTTGTCACTATATCTACCATTTACTAATTAAGTTTGTGGTTTCTGCTACGTTCTACAACTTCAGAAAATAGAGTAGTGTTTCATGGACTCCAATCTGGGAGTCAGAATCTGACACGTGTCCAGGAAGTCCATGAAACACGTGGTCACACTAGTTCATTTTCATTTTTTTTCCTGACGTCAATGCTAATTGGAAAAGATCCAACAAGCAATGGATCATAATTTATGTGTAAAATGGAAAAATCAAATACTAGAGTGCCCTATTGGACAGTTTAAATGGTTGGACGACTGTTGCATAGAGGTGTGTAAAGTGAGGATTCATACTTTTTGGAGAGTCAGATGTGGTGGGCAATTTTAGTAGATAAATGCCCGATTTACACTATAGCTGAGTAACAAGTATTTTGGAGTGTCAGACATGAATTGACTTGTGTGCCCCTGCGAAGGTGGAGTGTCTATGCAACACTACGTGAGACACAATCATGCATGGTTACCTGTGCAGGTTTGTTTTTGTATGTGTGTTGTTGTCTTCAGCTTTGTTGTTCCAATCCTGTCTAACATATTTTCCATTCACTGCCCCTTTATTGGCTTGGTAACTTGAGAAGTGCTAAGTCTGTTGCAACTTCACATGAGTAGCAAGGGATTATGTATTGACCAAAACTACACCCACTTCCCATGCATCAAAGATCTCAATATATACAAATGGAAAAGACAGAGTTTGAATAGATTTGTTCTTCCTTCTGATGCATATAATAAGTTCCTCTCTTAACTTGATTCATGTCCATTTCTTAGCTTGTTAGTTTATTTTATTTTTATACTTGACACAATATCTATGTTTTGCAGTTCCACACTTTGAAAAGATGTTGTATGATCAGGGCCAGATTGCTAATGTTTATTTGGATGCATTTTCAATCACAAAAGATACCTTTTATTCTTCTGTTGCTCGGGATATCCTTGACTATTTGAGGAGAGATATGATAGGAGAGGAAGGTGAAATATATTCAGCAGAAGATGCAGATAGTGCTGAATTTGAGGGTGCTCCAAGAAAAAAGGAAGGAGCCTTCTACATTTGGACAAGTCAAGAGGTCTATCAATTAGCTTTTCTGAGTCTTTCAATTTTAATGTAGTATTTATGGGCATAGGCAAGACCGATCTTTTCAACAATACTCGTATAGATGGGATGAGGCTTAGATAATTTTGATCTTCTTACGTGCTTTGGATCTTAATTTCGACTATACAAGACTCTAGACAGAATTATTATATTCTACAGAATGGTGCATATCTGATTACATGTTTTGGATCTTCGCTCTAAGTATAGAAAAAACCTACTTATCATCTATTCCTATGTTGTATGATCTCTTAAGTGAGTAGCTTCCATGTTAACAAATGGGGAACCTGCTATTCCCTAGCTTGGAATGGTATTTGACAACCTACACACAGTTATGTGTGGAACTCATTTCGTATCCCATTTAATAGTGAACTATAATGCTTGTTTTTGAATTTTTCACTTGATGTATGGGATTATTTAATTGTAATCATTGAATTCATCTTCCTTATTTACATTAACTGTACTTTCTCTATTATTTTCTCTTTATGCTAAAGGTTGAGGATATAGTTGGAGAACATGCAAATCTTTTCATGGATCATTATTATATTAAACTATCAGGCAACTGTGACCTTTCAAGGATGAGTGATCCTCACAATGAATTCAAGGGGGAAAATGTTCTAATAGAGAGGAATGATACTTCTGCAATGGCATCAAAGCATAATATGTCCAAGGATGAATATTTAGATGTACTAGGTGCATGCAAAAGAAAGCTTTTTGATTTCAGATCAAAACGACCACGACCACATTTGGATGATAAGGTACCTTTTTCTCATGTTCAGTCTAAGCAAGAATACACTATTCGTACTTCCTTGTAATATTTTTCAACTTTTAGCTTACTTATTATGCACCTTATAACTGATCAGGTGCTTGCCTAGGTAATTGTTTCATGGAACGGACTTGCAATTTCAGCCTTTGCAAGAGCTTCCCAAATTCTCAGGGGAGAAGCTGAAATGACCAAATTCAATTTTCCTGTTCTTGGTTGCAATGTAAGGCTCCATCTTTATTTAGGACATGTTCAATATTATAAATCTGATCTTGTCATCTGCTATCGTGCTTTATTTTTAGTTATCTTCACCTATATGAATGTATAAGAAGAATCAATTGCCTCCTCTTTGAGAAATGATATAATGTTTTTTTCTTGAGGAATGTTTGTCTCTTATTTTCCTGTTATCATGCTTTGCACAGTTGACATACATAATTTATTAATAATTAATTTCTTGAGACTTGGATATAGATTCATCGAAATAATAATGTAACCTGTAGATATACTTGGTCAAATTGAAAGGCCCTAAAGTGGATGGTTACTGGAAACTTCAGGTTGAATTGATGTGGATTTCTCAATAGACCATCATGTAACCCTTCTGCTTGTGGAAGACAACTTTCTCTTGAAGATTTTTCCTGACAAGAGAGGTGGAAATATTTCATTATCTTGTCTAAAAATTTATATATACTGTTGTAAATATGTCATATAAAATCAACATGGCTTTTATGTCTCATATAAATGGGAAACATAATATTCTCAAGTGGTAAATTTATCATATAGACTGAACCAAGTGTTAATTCAAACTTGGAAGTTTATATTTGGCCAAGCAACAATACGAGAAATACATAAAATTTTCACATAAAATTTTGTAATGGTACCAGAAAATCCAAGCTTTGGAGTGCCTTCATGGGTTGCAATATTATCTAGCAAAGTTCCCATTTAGGGCATAATTTATTTGTGGGCTGTGGCAACATTTACTGGGTTATTTTGCTATGGGTGTCTGGTTTGTCTTACCTTGATCTCTTTGATGAGATCTTTTGGATTGTGATTGAGCTATCAGAGTATCAGTTAGTGCCCTGGTAACTAAGTCACAGTCACCTATTGTAAGGGGCTCACTGGAAGCCCTTGGCGTAAGGTCTGACCATGGTATCTGCAACATTCTGTTTGGGAAATGAATGATGCTACTTTGTACCAATTGTGTATTTTCTTTTTACTATTTTCAGCCCAAGGAGTACCTTGAAGTTGGAGAAAAAGCAGCATCTTTTATCAGGAGGCACCTTTATGATGAGCAGGCACACAGGCTACAGCACAGCTTCCGGAATGGTCCATCTAGAGCACCTGGATTTCTAGATGATTATGCCTTCTTAATTTCAGGGTTGCTTGATCTGTATCAGTTTGGTGGTGGGATCAACTGGCTATCATGGGCAATTGAGCTACAGGATACCCAGGTAACCACCTACTATTAGCGCTTGCAATAGCTTCTGTGATTGTGTATTCCTAAGATCTGTCTTTCCAGGATGAATTGTTTCTCGATAGAGAGGGAGGCGGCTATTTTAACACTCCTGGTGAAGATCCTTCTGTTCTCCTCCGTGTAAAAGAAGATCATGATGGGGCAGAACCATCTGGAAACTCGGCATCAATGATCAACCTCATAAGATTGGCCTCCATGGCTGCCACAAGCAAGTCCGACCAATACAAGCAGACAGCACAGCATCTTCTGGTTTGTCTACCTTTCACTCAAAATATACTTCTCTATAAATAAATCTAGTTTTGAATTTTCACTGATGTGGTTTGTGATTTTGATACATGGCTTTATAGGCGGTTTTTGAATCAAAATTAAAAGACACTGCAATAGCTGTCCCCTTGATGTGCTGTGCAGCAGACATGTTTTCTGTTCTTTCCATGAAACAAGTTGTGCTGGTTGGCCGTAAGCCATCTACCGAATTTGATGATATGATTGCATCTGTTCATTCAACATACGACCCAAGCAGAATTGTGAGTATGGGATACAAGTTTCCCGTTCCCTGATCATGATATCATGCTAATCTTTGATCTAAGGAATTCTCTGGGTGGGCTTTGTGTTATGTTCAGTCATGAACTTAGGTCATACACAGTAATCAATTTTTTTTTAGTTTAGTTCTTAATTTCATTATGAAATATCTAATATTATACATGACACATGCCATCTCAATGCAACATTTTGGGAGAGATATAGAAGAGCACTCAGGTCTATGGGAATTTGCATTGCTCCTTTTTCTTTTCCCATATATGATTGTAGGGGGCCCATTAGCTTCTGTCACAGTAATGTTCTTCCTGAATGGACTCAATGACAGGTTATTCACATAGACTCAAGCAACCAAGAAGAAATGCAGTTCTGGGAAGGTTACAACGAGAACATTGCCCTCGTGGCAAAGAACAGAACTTCCCCAGAGAAGGTGGTTGCTCTTGTCTGCCAGAAGTTCACATGCAGTTCTCCCATCACTGATCCCGAACTTCTCAAGACCTTGCTCAAGTAGATAGATATTGAAGCATGTTGTTTTCAAAACGATTTATCATGCGGACAAGCGGCACAGCCTACTGAGCTGCCGAGTTAGTGTTTATGTTGCTATCTACTAGACTATGTCTGGTCATTTATGAAGGGACGAAGCTGGGTAAGGAGGATTTACATTTCATACCTCATACATATTGTAGATAGTACAGCTCAGTTTGACAGTTATACCATACCTATATGTATGTTGTTTGAATGCTATGTCGACTTTTGACGACTAATCTAAATACCAACATATTTATACCACCCAATCACCTCAGTGATCTGATTAGCCAAACCCCATACAGTTGGGATAAGGGTTAGGATGATCACGATGACGACGACTTAGTGACCTGATGTATGATGTACTGATGTACTTGTGTATCTATAGATTGACATTCAATTAAGACAGCAGCCCTGTTCGGTGGTGGGCGTGGGACAAGCCACAAATGAGATTTTGCTGTTTGGGAATTGGGATGTAGAGAAGTGATTGTATTTCTTGAGTTGTTCTTCTCTTGTGTTCCGTTTTGGTTTCTTTATGAGTGTTAAACAAGGCCAAAATCAGTCAGTACCCTGTATTTTGGCTCGAGTGGTAATTTGGTCCCCAAATTTTAAAATGCAATAATTTAGTATTGAACTTTCAAAATGTGATAATTCAGTACTTGCCGTTAACATGTCCGTTAATCAGCCATTGAGCGACATTTGAAAAGTATAAAATGCTATTTAATTCTTTTTATCAATCATCCAAATATTTGATAATAAAATGAACAGTCTCAAATTTTAGAATTTTTTAAAGTCACCAACTTTTTTGAATAGAAGAAAGTTAGGATTTGGGACTGTTCAGTTTTTTGACAACATTTGGATGGTCGATAAAGAGAATTAGATGGCATTCGAAGGGTAATTTTGACTTTTCAAATATCATTTAATAGACTGGTTAACGGTAGGTATTAGATTATCATATTTTGAAAGTTTGGGTATTGGATTGTTATATTTTGAAAGTTTGGGTACTGGATTATTGTATTTTAAAGTTTGGAGATCAAATTGTCACTCGAGTCAAAGTACAAGTATTGATCGGGAATTTTCCCATTAAAAAAATGATTTTTTGCATAAAAATTTATCAAGTTTGGTCAATTAAAAAATTCAAAATTAATTGCAAAAATGGTGAGTGGGAAGAAAAAAGTTTTTGTTAGGACTAGATTGCCCCCGATTTAAAAGATATATCGTTTTTCACTCTTCCACTCTTTTCTCTCTCTCTCTCTAAACTTCAAATAACGTTTTGCATTTCCCATTCCTCTCTTTTCACTATTCCTGCACCTATTTATCTCAAAAAGGTGGAAATATTTTTGACATATCGCAGTAACACCCAAGCATCAAGAATGAAAAATCAGAAAAAGGCTTATCTTCTTTTTGAATAATGTTTTCAAAGAAAATAATTTACGAGCAAAAGAATGCAATCTCAGTGAAATGGTCAATTTAATTTTCAATCAACTGAGGAGCTTATAAGATGGAAAAAAAGGTTCCATTATTTCATTAAAAGCGTATCAGTGTTGCAGCCGACTAATAGCCCTTTCGGGAGGCCTCCAACTTCTTGAAATATGTTTAGATGTAAGCAATCAGTACCATATCAGTTTGTTCTTAAGATATGTTTCATACTCAGAAATTCTTGCCATTGAGTCGTTGATATTTTCTTAGATTCTTGAAGTGTTCTACAATAAAAGTCAAAAGAAACACACATATTTATAGACATTCTTGTGTATTAATTACCTTGGTTTCCTTTAGTCTATTGGATGGCGGAGATACCTTTTATCAAATTGATCCTCGAGTAGCTTCCAGTTACAGATGGCCTTCATCAATGTATCTACCATTGTATACATGGCCTGCATCTTTGCATATTAGATATTAATTATCAGGACTCTATTTCAAATTACTCGTCTTCGTTTATAGAGGTGTAAATCGGGCCGTGCTGCATGCAGTCCGGCATGATAGTCCACGGGCTGTGTCAAGCCTGGCACGATCATGCGGGCCATGTTGGGCCTGGGGTTTTAGGTCCATGGGCCAGCATAGCACGATACATTCGAGTGGGCCGGTATGGCCCATATATATTATTTATATATATTTTATATAATATTATATAAATTATAATTATATAATAATGTATAGTGTATAATATTAATAAAATACATATTTTTTTAAATTTTATTACTACACTATTTAATTGTATATATAAGTAATTGTATACACAAAATTCATATAACATTAAAATTTTAAGTTTTTTTTTCAATTTTTTTTAAATAAATAGCTTTGGCCCGATGCACGACCTGACCTGGCCCAAGGCTCGGCCCATAGGCCATTTTGGTCCGCAACACCACACGAGACAAGGTCGTGGTCCGTGTCAAGCCGACCCTCAAATTTTTCACCGGGGAGGTCGGCATGGCCCGTAACGGCCTGCGGGCCGTCCACAACCCACTTTACACCTCTATCTGTTTCACACAATAATAGTCATTGGGTGTCAACTCCGCACTCCACTACTAATAAAATTTCTTAAACCAAAAACCAAAGGCCAAATAAGAGAGGGCATAAAAAAAGAGTAAATTTCTTACACTACCCTTATGGTTTAGCTAATTGACTAAATGTACCCTTACTGTTTGAAAATTGACTAACATTACCCTTACTATTTCTGACAATTGACTAACTTTACCCTTACCGTTAACATCCGTTAATATTCTGTCAACCTATATAAATGATGTTTAAAATTCTTTTAAAACCTAATATTACCCCTCCCTCATCCCCTTCCTCTCACCAGCAACGCCTTCCTCTAACCGGCAACGCCTTCATATGACCGGAGTTGTGTTCGTTGTTGTCGCACGCTCTACTTGGGATGAATCTAGGTTTCAACTCTGACACCGGCCATAAATGGCCTCTAAGCGATGGGCGATGGACGATGGGAGATGGGAGATGTGAGATCCCCGCCCAGTAGACCTGTTCATGGGCCGGGTGGCCCGACGGGCCGGCCCAGCCCCCGGACGGGCTTGGGCATGTGTTTTAGCCCGCGGGCTTGACCTCGGGCCTAAAAGCCCGAGCCCGACTATTTTACGGGCCAGGCTCGGGATTTGTTAAAAAAGCCCGGCCCGGCCCAACTTTTCCTAAACTACCTAACCCTAACCCTAAATATTTAAAATTTTTCTTTTCATTCTCCTTTCTCACTCTCACTCTCAGAAGCGGCGGCTCTCATTTCTCCCTCTCAACTCTCAGAAC